ATGTCAACCTGCTCTTGATCTCTCTTCTATAATTTTTTGCCAACATTAGAACTAATGAGTGAGCTGCAGCCAGGCATGTCTCTACCTCTCTCTCTCTCACTATATGGATTAGTTGTTCTTTATTCAGATCCAGCTAGTCTCCAAAAAGTCCATCTTCCACCTCTTCCATGCTAACCCTAAATCTTCTCTTCAGTGATGTATTCTAATATGTTACATTTGTCATGACAAACTGTGTGCCCAAGATACGAGATCTTGCATTTCTTAATGACCAGCTCTTCCTTTTTGTTTTCCTACCCAATGAAGTATCTCTTCATTTTTTATTCCCTTAACCAATGGGAGACACATCAGGCAGCAAATTGCAGACACATCTCTCCCCTCCCTGGCAGTCAAAAACAATACAGTGACAGAACAACTCACTGCTAGTCTGTGTCACCCCCAATCTGCTGCATGAGCAGTCCAACTCACTCTGACCAGTGGTGGAGCGAGACCCAATTTTCTGAAAAGTACCCAGTGATTTATGAGCACAGTCAATCGACCTTCACTGTACCCCGGGCAGAGGGACTGCCTCTACTTATAGGATACAGCCTGATGCCTTTGGGGGTGTGATCTGAAATTGTTTGCTCTCAGACCTCTTCAATATTCAGCCTTCTGCTAGCTACAGGGTGGGCCCAGGTGGACAAGCAAAGAGCCAGGAGCTGCTTGAGCCCCAATTCCTGACTGAGCGAGATATTTCTCAGTCTTGCTGGTTCAAACTCATTGTTACAAGAAATGCACAGTCCTGCGATGAATATGTCTTCTCTCCATTGTAATGATTTCCACAGAAGTGTTTATCTTATAAGGCAGGCTTTGCAGAGCCTTCTGTTTCTCTTCCAGTGACCCATCACAAAACAAAGCACACCAAATGCAAGATACAGAAGTGATGAAAAGCATGTGCCATCATAGACATGATTCACCACTAGGCAGAGCATTGCTTCTGAACAAGTACTAATAATCAGGTTTGAACGTACGATTTTAAGTGCATGCCCCAATCCTTTCTGACATCGGAACTGCTTTCATGAGCGGCTACCATTGGGAAATAAGTCTGATAGAATGTAAGGCACATACCCCTCCCTAACCTATAGGAGGCGAGAAACCCATTTTGAAAGTTTTGCAAGGCACTATACTTTATAGACTTTCTTCATTTACAGGCAAACTTTTGTGAATTTGTTTTAATTGGATTTCCTATCCAATGACATTTTGAAGGATCCTGTCTTATTTTTCAACAGTAGTTAGATCCTTAGCAGCTTAAATAAACCTGGCATTATTAATGGATATCTCCTGGTTGTGTCAGAATTTCTGACTTGTGTATGTTTCAAAAAGCGTTTCCCTTTTTCCCTGTCCAAAGAAAGAAAGAAAGAAAGGGGGAAATAGTCCTTTTTCCCTGTCCAAGGAAAGAAAGAAAGAAAGAAAGAAAGGGGGAAATAGAGACAGAATAAGAATAATAAAAATAGGGGAGAAACATAGAAGCCCAAAATCTGTCAAGAGACTTAAGCCTGCTATATCCCTAACCACCCTCAGGAAGAGCAGAATAAATCAAGAAGTTTTGTCAGGCTGATTATCTCCATGCATGTAAAGATTTTGGAATACATAAATTAATGTCTTGCTCTAAGAGGAAGGACTTTGATTGTAAGCAGAAGTGGCTTAAAAGGATGTCTAAAATTTAAGGGCTGATAAATGTCTCTTCAACCATCTGCCGTGGAAGAGCTGCTGGAGTCTCCTACTGCGCCGGATGGAAAGGAATCCAAAATGTTTTCATATCTGCGATTTGCCATAGCTCCAAGCAGCAGGCTCAAGGCAAGGGCCCCCCCCCAAGACACTTTGCTGCCTGAAGAGAAAGACAAGCCAGCACCCCACCTCCACAGTAGGTGAAAGGACTAGCCAGCAATTTTTATATCAACACACTGGGATAGGAAGGGTGACACAGTGGCTAGATAAACCTCTCTTCACAACTGGAGTTCGATCCCTATGGGTTCAGGGAGCAAGCTCAAGGTTGACTCAGCCTTCCTTCCGGTTTCAATAAAAGGAGTCCTCTGCATGCTGGAGGGCAAGTTGTTGTTTGTATAATTATGTTGTAAACCGCCTAGAGAGTGCTCTGGCACTATGGGGCGGTATGTAAGTCGAAACAAGAATAAAAGCACCACAACGGCAAGGCAGATGGATACTTTAGGGTTCCCAGATCAGGGTTCAGATCAGCACAGACAGCGCTGTCTTCTAAAACAGGAAGAGCCAGAACGGTTAGGAGGCTGCCCCTGTCACTCATCCCACCCTCCAGCAGGTGGCTGCTAGAGGTGGGTCCTTCAGGTTCGGACAAATGAAAAGAGATGCATACATACTGTATTTATTTGGTCTTTTTCCATCCCTTTCCACATACTCATGATCTGTCCCAACAAATAAGAAGGACACAGATCATCTGTGTTTATCCGTGTTTCCCCTCAGTCATTGCCTTCATTCATCTCATGTGAACCAACCCTGTCTGGCACTGATGTTCCAAGTACTCTGCCCACTCTGCTTTCTCTCCTCACTCTCCTTGAGGAGCGGCTGCCACAGAAGGTGCCTTGGACGATCAGAGTGGCTGCCTGAGGCAGTCCGGTCACTCTGTCCAACAACAGGGCTGGTCCCTGACCTAAGCTTACAATGAACCTCTGGCATCTACCTCACATTCACTGGCATTTACCAGAAGAGGTCCCCTTTTTCCTACTAAAGGGATCTACCAGGAAGTCAACCAAGGAGGGTTATGACGTATGATTACTGATGAATGAACATTATATTCCATTTATATCCCTAAGTGGCTCAGGACATCACACAAGGTCCTTGTCGAACTTTCTGCACTCACAAGAAAAACCAGTTGTCAACTGACTCTGGTCTCCCTTTTGAAGAACCTGCATGACAGTCAAACCAGGTTGCATGATACTGAAGACTACCACCAGCAGTTACAGTCACTCATCACGACAAACCCCACAACTGCACACCTCAAGGAGGGCTGAAAAAGGCTGCCTGCTGCGTCAAACCCTATCAACAAACCAACGCTCGCCATTCTCATTTGCGAGAGCACCCGGTCTTTTGTAAAACTGAATTCAAAGTCCCCTTTTCCCCCAGCCCTGCAAAGTCAAAATGGGAGAGGGAATTTTTAAAAAGCAAAAACCTGCAAAGCGGGTAAGAGGTTAAAAAAGGAAACAGATCATATTCGTCATAGCCGGCACATGCCTGTCAGGGTCTAAGCTGTGGTGGCTCCCCCATCACTAATTTCCTCCTTTTCCAACCTCTGTTAAGATTGTTCTGTTCACATTGCAAAGCGGGTAAGAGGTTAGAAAAGGAAACATATCATATTCGTCATAGCCGGCACAAGCCTGTCAGGGTCTAAGCCGTGGTGGCTCCTCCATCACTAATTTCCTCCTTTCCCCAACCTCTGTTAAGATTGTTCTGTTCACAATCACTGCGGGTTTTGCACGCACACACATACACAGAGCCGGCATTTCCCCCTTGCTGCTGTCCCTTCCCTAGGGGGTGGCAGAATCAGGGATACCACCCACTTGTCTCTCTGACCTGCAGCCAGAGTGCAGTAGCTCCTTAAGATGCAGCTCAATAAAGCTTGCTGTAATGTTCTGGCTTATCCTACTCATGTTGATTGTGTTTGTGGTTTGTTACTGATCCAGTTTCAGTTGCTTCCTTGCAAAGTTGAATTTGTGCTCTGTTTGTTGAATTTGTGATTGGTCATGTCCGAAATGGGTTGTCGTGGTTTGTAACAAACATTTTCCTCACCCCAAATCCAGGGTTGCCTTTTGGTGAGCTGGCATTGACTCACTTGGCTTGGGCCCAGATCCCAGGGGAGGGCATGGCAACGGCTCCCCACCCCAGCCAAACAAGCACCTTCGAAATGTGTGAGGACTACAGTTCCAACCGCCTTTCGCAATTCTGGCGGGGCTTATGGGAATTGCAGTCCAACAAATCTAGACGGTAGCCAGTTGGGGAAAGCAGACGGGGTGACGCTGCTCAGGCTGAGAGAAAATGGGAGGGTGGCTCCCCTCTTGCTGGAGACGAGAATGCTTTTGCAGTGCCTTGTCTTTACGTGGAAGGACGAGACTAGCAAGAATTCACATCCTTAATCAGTTACAATTGTTTTTCTCATAGCATTCCTAAGCCTACTGCTATTTGCAAGGCTGCCTGGAACAGAAAATATATTTATGGTTGAGGGAAGGGAGAAAAAGAGAAGCATTAGATATCTGGCATCTCTTTCACTGTCGTGTGTTTTACTCTGTGATCGCCAGGAACACCATGAGACTGTTTATTCAAATATACTTTGTGTGCAAATTCGGAGCACATTTGCTGTATGGAAAGGTTCAGACTGAACGCATGGCCTCGTCTCCACTGCAACCACACCAGCACCCACCAGGGACGAACAAAAAAAATTTGTTGACAAAGAACGTCTTGTCTGCCAGTGTCCGTAGCAAAGGAATACGCAGAGACGAACAAAAAAAAATATGTCATGTCCACCTTTGACAAAGAACGTCTTGTCTGCCAGTGTCCGTAGCAAAGGAATACGCAGAGTGCTTGTGATGGATTAGCACCCAAGGCTGACAGCTGGCAGAAAGGGACAGATCACTAGCATTGTGATTTGATGTACGGTTCAGATGAGCCACCTCCCAGCCCAAAGAGTCTTGTGGCACCTGGAAGACTTAACACACCTCATTTGGCATAAAGTGTCTGTGAATCTGTGGCGAAACTTCTTTGGATACATCTGAAGAAGCAGGTGACAAAACCGAACACCCATTTTCTTAGCCCTTAAGGTACGACAACGCCCTGGTTTTGCTGCTGCAGACTACAGGCTATGTGGATGGTGGGAGAAGGGGGAGGGCAGAGAGCGGGAGATTAGCAGAAGACCAGAATATGCAACTGCGGCCTACAAGGAGGGTAGCATCTTTGGCAAGGCAGAATAACATGTGAACCTGTGCATTTTCTCTTACATGTCCAAAGGGGTCCAGGTGGTTGTTGGTGAGCTTCAGTTTTTGAAACGATACCAGCTGGCGCATCCAGTGTGCCCCCGTGGCTGGCGAGTCCGGGTGGACGTACAAGCGCCCAGGCATGGCTGGCTCAGCCTTTCCCGCTACCATCCTGTAAACGGAGCAAATGTGGCAAGTTTAGCTTCACAACATTGACGGCAAAGATGATTATGGGACACAGTAAAGGTGAACAATTTTTGTTTGGTTCAAACTTTTATGGGCGGCATCCCACTTCATCAGATGGAAGTGGATTGCAGTCCATGAAAATGGGTGCGGATGATGAGAGAGAGAGAGAGATTGGGTTCTTAAATGTTTTACAAAGATTTCTCCTTTCTTGTGGATTCCCTAAAAAGAAGTGCTTTCTTAAGAGAAAAGAAAGGGTGTTTTAAAGGGAAGTTTGGATGTAAATCCGGGTAAAGCCTGCACTCCTTGGTGCAAGAAAAAGTGTTCAGGAGGGGAACTCTGGAGAACAAATGCTCCATCTTGAAGAATGCTTGGTTTTTCATATTAAATCCAGGTTTTAATTGTTTTTTAATAGGATACTTATAAAGTGTTTTTGAAACTGTGTTTGTTTTAGTTTTCTCTGTTGTGAGCTGCTTTGGGTCCCCTGGGGGGGGGGAAGGCAGCATATAAATACATTAATATAAATAAAATAAAGGTGATGGAACTCACCATTTATTGTCACAGAACTTGTATCGATGATCATCAGCTGGGACAATATCAATCAACAAGATGTACTTTGTCTTGGGGTTCATTCCCGTGACTTTCACTTTGTAACTGGGAAACATTCTCCTTAGGAGAAAGACAAAAGACAAAGATTAGCTTGTCAGCCACATTTGCAAACAAATGCGCTTCTTTGCTATGCAAAGGCCTAATATTGACCGGTGGGGGGGACTTCCTAAAGAATGGAATGATAACAAAAACTAGTTTTGAAATCCAATATTCTTTAAACACAAATAATAATACTACAAGCCAGCTTGGAAATCACTTCCACACTTCATACTGAACCAGGCAGTCCTGGCCTCCCACCAGAAGCTCATGCGAAAAGGAGCACCCCTAATGGCCCTTGAGAGGGAGGGTGCAAGAGGAGACCCCATCTGGTGTACTCACCATCTTAGTGTGCATACCTATCTACATATACAGATGTGTGCGTTTTGCAACATGGCTTATAAATACACTGTTTTTCCCCATTATACAGTACTAGATACTAGTTTCCCTACCAGGCAACAAAGCTGAAGGTCAAGTGGCTTGAATCTATCAGTTATCCTTACAACAGTCTTGCAATGTAAGGCAGTGTTATTTATTCACATATTACAGATAAGTTACCCTTATCACGACCCTGTAATGTAGGTCAATTCTCTCCTTCATATAAAGCCTTCTACTGAGTAAATAACAGCATGTTTTGCCATGAGTCGCTGAAGGGGTTTGCAGTGAGGTGACACTCGCTGCGCGGCTTACCTGCTGACCCCCTTAGCCTTTACCCCACACCCGTGTCATTCCCTCCTTTATCTCTTCCCCAAATTTCCATTTTTTGCCATGAGCAGAACATATCCTGAAGGAGTCTGGAGATCTTTGGAAACTCCTCCTTGGCAGCAAAACACCGAGCCGTCAGGAGATGTGGCACTCGGAACGCACAACAGCCCGGCTGAACGAAAACCACATCAACTCCCCCTTCGATGCATCGCTTTTTCTTTAATTCTGCCTTGAAAGAGAGAGCCAGAGACCACCCTCAAATTCTTCACAAATGCCGCCTTGAAAAAGAATGCCCTCTGCAACAACCTGGTTGGGTCACACATTCTCATTTGGCTCATAAAGAGAGATCTGTACGAGCCAGTGAATAAAGACAGGAAGAAAAGCCGTGCGGACAGAAGAACAGTCTGTGTCTGTTTGGAAGGGCCAGCGATGGTTGTCGGCGACACGGCCATTTTGTGACCGCTTGGGCAGGCGTCCACAAAATGGGCTCCTTTTAGAAGCCCTCTTGAATCGTCTCTTTTCCCGACGCCCTGCAAAAATTCCAGGTGTTTACCATGTAATTAATTTGGCCTCAAAAAGGGGGCGGTTTACCAAAAAATCCATCTTTGATTCCCATTCATAAGTCATGCATGCACTGCTCTTAACCTTGGGCGCAGGTAAGCACCTGTATAAATACAGTAGCATATTCCAGCTTCCAAACTCGGCAAAATGGATTCATGGGTTTCGAAGGAGGGAGAAACAGTGTGGAAGGCCAAGGTTTCTTTGATTTCTGTTTTGTTATTTTAAATTACATCGGTTTTAAGACAAACAAACGAAGAAATAACTGGATCAAAAAAAAATCAAAATTGAATTTTTTTAAAAAAAAATTATTTTCAAATGACACATTAGGTATTTTTTCAACATGATTTTAAACACAGCCCTGGAAGATTCTACAAAGATATTTATGAGCCCAGCTTCTTGAAAACTTTCTTCTGCTCTCTTGCCCGCCAAGAGCTTTCTGAACTGTAGCACATCCAGGCTGCTCAGGGAGCTGAGATCGAATATACTGTAAATGTTAAGTGCTTTTTAATGGCATTTAAAATTAAGCTTCAACATATGGAATTCATATAGAGGAGACAAGTCAGAGTTTATAATGTTCCTTGAAAATAGCCCTCTAAAATAAATAGAGGGAGCTCAAGCACAACGGTAATATATACAGTTGAAATTCTTTTAAGGATAACAAATTAGAATTTGCATCTGATGTTAGGTGCTGCTTAAGTCTCCGACTGTTCTGTAATGGCCTTTGGTAGCGTTTGGTGCAACAAATCAAGCAGGATCAACCGGCTGCTGGATCTTGCCAATTTTCTGCACCCTTTTCCAGGAAAAACCAATGGCTATGCAGTGTTGTTGTTGTTGTTTTAAAGGTCCTGGCTACGCATTGACATTTCATCATGGTTATTAGCTGCTGCATTTTGGCATCCGTCAGGGACTCGTTGGTTTAATTTTCTTAATGAAAACATATTTTCCAACCTCTTGGCAACAGGGAGTTTTTCAGTGAAAAGCTTGGGGCAAAAGGATGCGACAGGAAAGAAGGGAAAGGAAAAAGACTCATGCGCTTCTTATTGTGGGATGGATAATCCAGAAGAAAAGAACTGTCACCCAAGCAAATGGGAGTCACAGAAGTGGGAAAGGACTGGACTTTGTAGGATGTTTTCTCTTGCCCTGGTTGAAATATATGGCTCGAGAGGTACCAAGAAAAGCACATCCAGCTGGAATGAGACACCCACAGAGCTGTTTATTTCAATAGCGGATCCAACTTCTCCGCACTCAGCCAAAACCTTTGTCCATGTTCAATTATAATAATAGGCCATTCTCCAGTTTTCTCAGGTGCAGATTTTCTGGCTCGATGGAAAAGGTGGGCAAAGTAAACAGCACACCCACACCCACACAGACACCATGGTTGATTTTTCTATGTGACTTCATGTGTGCTTGCTCGCTCTTTTTATTCTTTCGCCAAACTGCCTTCCATCAGGCATCATTAGAAAAAGACCCTGCCTGAACTGTAGACCAAGAGTAGACCTTGGAAAAGTTACTTCTTTGGGTCACAACTTCCACAGGCCCCACTGGCTTGGAAATCCTAGGATCTGTCATCCCAAAATATAATTTTTGTGGTCGCCTGGCCACAACATGATTTTAATAAACCATTTTACTGTTGGATTATTTTGTCACTCTTTTTAATAATTTGTCTGTTGAACTTATTCCAAGGCCTGGCTTTTTAATAGTGTAATGGGCTTTGGAGGTTGTTTTTGTTTTTTAAATGAAAAGTGGTATAAAAATATATACAACACCTTGAGCTCCTTGGAAGAAAGGAGACCTAGGAAGGTAACTAATGTCCAGAGACCTTTGGGTAGTGTGGGCGGCATACAAGTTAAATAAATAAACAATGTAAATAATGTTTTAACCGAGCAACTCCCCAGATCCTGCTGGACTGCAACTCCCATAAGCCCTAGATAGCATGGCTCATGATGAGGAGTGATGAGACATAAAATCCACCATCAACTGGAGGGCGAGAAGCTAAGCCCAGAGAGATGGGTCATAGGTGCACCTTACAGTTGATTTAATCTGTCATATTTATTTCCTCTTCTTTCCTCTAATGATCTCAAGGCAACATACATCATGCTCCTCCTCCTGCAACTTCTCCCATTATATCTTCACAACGACCCTCTGAGATAGGTCAAGTGGAGAAAAAGTGACTGCTGCAAGGTCATCTGGTGGGTTAAGACGAGACTTGAAGCTCTTTTTGACATCCCAGCCCAATCACGACACCTTATTGGCTGCCACAAGAAATCCCTGGTTGAGGCTGAAAACTCTGTAGAAGACGGTGGATTATTTTCCTGTTTTATTGCCTCTGCTCCTGTTTTATCATCCATGCCCAGAGTTGACAAAACAAGCCAAAAAAAAAGGGAGAGCTATGGACTGTAATCTCTGCCCACAAACACTGCCTCAAGCATTTGAAAGAGGTCAGTTGTTCTGCATGCCTGCAAAGGATTCTGGGTAAATTTTAAAGCAGAGGTGAGCGAACTTTGACCTCAGCAGCCAACATTTGTGGGGTTTTTACTTGCAATATATTGGTCTTCATCCAATTTAAGGTCTTCATGTGTTTGGCTATGGGGAAAAAACAATGCTAAATTCCAAGCCAAGCTGGATCAAGGCAGAGTTTGGAAAACTTAATCTACATCCTGTCTCCAGAGACTGAATCTCTAAGTAATACACAGTGGTAAAATATAACCAGAGATTAAAGATTCAGATAAAAACTAACCAAGAGAACCTCCTTCGAATACAAGCTTTGAAAAGAAGAGACAAAGGAAATGCCTCTTAAAACTCAACCACCAACACCAGAAACCAGCCAATGCAAAAGAAACTGGAGTCATTTTTTTTAAGCAACATCACGAAGATGGATTTCAGGGACCAGCTGGTTCTAAAACACAGATCTGCCCCCAAGGGCACTTCTGGTCTTTGTTCCAGCTGGATGGCCCTCTCATGCCCTCCTCCCAAAATACTACAAAGCTGTTAAGGAACCTCGCAAGGAACCTCGAATCTCTCTTTTTCTAGTTACCCTCAACTTTTGTGTTGTTACTGAAAATTTCGAGTCTTCTTGAGCTGTTTTTGGGTGGGGGCAACAGCAGCTTACAAGGAGTGTTCCCTAATTTTAAAAAAAGGTTGTGTACTGTATACTTCAGGGTTCAAACCAATATAGTTCCTCCCATTTCCCAGTGGCACTGGTTCTCCTCCAGTCTGACACAACTTGCCACCTGTGTCACCCTTCGTGGCTACAATTTTCTGCAGATGGTCACATGTCCAAGCTGTTGGCCGTGGCACTTGGAGTTGGCATCACTGAGCATCCGCTGAGACACGCTTCTCAGCAGGGACCCTATGGTTGACGCCCTTCCCAAGGCTCTGCTCATTGTCGCAACTGCTGCCTGGCCATCTATGGTCTCCATGAAAGCCAGCAGAACAAAAAAATGTACAGAGGATAAGCAACAACCTCCCGTTCATCTTGCACACGTTGTCGCAACTGCTGCCTGGCCATCTATTGTCTCCATGAAATCCAGCAGAAAAAAAAATGTACAGAGGACAAGCAACAACCTCCCGTTCATCTTGCACACTCTTTTCAAGATAAAACCATCGGTAGTATTTCCCAGACCAAATCTGCTCCTAGAAACGGAAGCCAGAAACGGACTTGAGAGAGTATAGGGATGACATGTGTTTTTCAGGTATAAAAGAAACAGGGGCCGAAGAGCACAGAAGCAGCTAGCATAGCAGACCAAATCTGCTCCTAG